TGGGTTAACGACAGTAATAAGGAAACACGTACTTTGCAAGATGCTCCGCTAAGAACTTTAGAACCGTATGATGGCTCCTAGGTAACGCCTTGACTCTCGCGCGCAACCTCAACACCCGCTCCTTTTCATCCGCAATTTCTATCCCATAAACAGATAATCAACAAACGCATCGCACCAAACAAGATCAAAATCAACTTTCCAACATACGAGAATACTCTGTCCGCTCTTTAGCAGGAAACGGAAAAACAGGAACAGGTAATTGTCGCAAGTACATTTTAACCAACCCTGCAATCACATGTACATCCCAACTCTCATCTTCCAAATTGACGGAATGCACGTCTTTTTCGACTCGGAGTTTGAGCTCGAGGACGTCCGAGTGTTTGCCTGATACGCGGTAAATGCCCTCCTTGTCCAGTCCTATCCAAAGCATATATCTCATCAATATGGCATATTGGGAGGCGAAAAAGGAGATATGTTACCTCTTGCCTCAACGGCTCGAACGCACTTGTACAGAACAGCTGGAATCCCACTCCCGGGATGAGCTCTCAAAAGTGTCTCAAGCGGAACTCCAAACACCATATCTAATCACCACCATCACCATCAATTTGCTACGCACACACAAACACCGAGAAACAGACAAACGCTACGCACGTACCTTTGGCAATCCCATGCGTGTAACTCTCATAATACATTGGCGTAGCATCCGGCCAAATCCTCATAAAATCGGCCACAAAAAAGTGACAATCGACTTGGGGCGACATGCATTCCACGAAAATGCTGCATCGATCCACAGCTTCTCCACCGACTTTCATGAGTTTGCCTTCTGCTTCCGTATAGGTTCCTAGAGCGTTCTTGAGCGCCAATACCCTGTCCCATTCGACGCGTTCGCATGTCTATTGATTTCTGTGAGTATAGGGATAGAGTGTTGTGCGATCAGGGGGAAAGCGTACCTTTTGGGTTTGCTCTCGTACTAATTGGAAACGTTGTCGAATTTCTTCCAAATCCTGGATTCCACGACGGTATCCTTGTTCTAAACACGAAATGTCAGTACATATTGAGTGGGCACTGTTTCGTTGGTCACCGCTTCTCACCTGCACTCGTAATGTCCTTGGCCAGTTTCAACGTCTACACACATGTTTTCAGCATATTCAACTTCTATCCCTTACAAACGAGAAGGATATATCCCACCTTCGGATTCCCCACACCTTCCTTATTTTCTTTTTCGAGTGCTTCCATATCTTTATGCCTCTTAAAATAACTATGCTTCAACTAAGTGAAGACAAAAAGCTTAGCAGCCGGGACAGAAAGAAAAACAAATCGGCATCACGTACTTTTGGA